TGGACCCATTCTAGCTCGCACTAAGTTGAATTTGGTGTTGTTGGGTTCGCCTTTTCGAGACTTTAAGTCCTACAAAAAATTTGCTAAAATCAAAGTTCAAATGATTCTGAATTTAAATTAAGAAGTTTTCAACTTAATTTTGCCTCGAGATTTGTTCTCAATCAAGATAAATTTTTTATGATATATCAAAAAGCTATTATAAAAGCTGCTTTTATGTACAACTTTTTTCTAAAAAAATCATCAAAAAAGCTACGGCTAAATAAAAATTATGATTGTGGTCAAAAAAATAAAGCATTAAAAAGTTATGCTAAACAAAGACTTAGGACTTTGTTTGAGACAACTTTCTTATTGCTTTCAAAGCAGCTTTTAAGTACAAAAATTTATTAAACTAAAATTTTTTAGATTAAAAAGCTATTTTAGAAAGCTGAAAGAAAATTGTCTCAAATAAAACCTTAGGCTCTTTTTTTAATAAGTATCTCAATACATCCTTAATGTTTATTAATTGTAAGTAAAATATAAGAGGAGCTTTAAATATGTAGGGGATGGGACATATTATCGAAGAAGGGCATAAAAAAACTTAATTTGCAGGCCAAATTATACATAAAAGAATTATTATTAAGTTAAAGAATGTTAAATGTAAAATAGAAATTTATAACATTTAATCTAAAAGTCAAAGAGTTAAAAAATTGATATATCTATGGCTCTTTGATTATTAAGAAAGTTGAATAAGCATAGGATTATTAATAAATTTTGAATATTTTTTATTAGTATTGACTTTTTTATGACCAACCAAAGCGATCATTATGTCATTGATCAAGTGTCATTATAATTTTTCTATAATCTCAAAAATGATATAATTTATCTCTTAAATACATTACTAGTCAATTTACAAAATGTTCAGTATTCTATGGGGTTATAAACACCCAATAAGGTATGATATAGAAATCCTCACTCTTTTCCTTCTAAAGAAAAACTATGTTGAATTGCTTTTGGTTGTTCTTTAATTGTAAGCTTCATTGGTGACTTGGCATCAAAGATCCTTCCTAAGGATAAAAATCTTATGATGGGATGTTGATGCTCTATTAATTTGTTATGAATGTAATAAGTGTGCTCAAGAACAATGTGATCATTCGAATATCTTAATCAACATGAAAGCACTTTTATTTAGGGAAGGGAATCACTTTTTTAATATTGAACATTTTGATGGCTATATCAGTGATATTCTTAAATTATAATTAATGGATTCATTTGATAAAGTTTAACTACATGATTTTACATGTTCAGCATTTTCACGTGCGTAAAATATTTTGAATCTCCTGCACATTACTCTCAATTCAGCCTCCACTCCTCTCTACAGTCTGCTCCAAAACAGAGAGCTTAATCTCAATTGTTCAGCCTCAGCAAACTATCAAAGATAATCACCATTAGATGTACGTACTTTATTAGTCTTTATATACATATGCATTTACTGTTGATGCATGGTCTTTTGATAATGAATGAGAAGATACAGGAGAGCTGAAGGCTGCTTTTGATCATTGTCATACGGCAAAGGTATACTTTCTTCTACCTTCAGATTCGATATTCTAGCATGGTATCAGCGCACCTGTAGCTTCACAGCATCCAATGGACAACACTGCTTCCTCCTCATCCAATGTTATTAAGCTAGCATATATATGCACCTCAACTCATGCCTATAAATAACCAATAATAACAAGTGCCAATAGCATCTCATAATTATGCATAAATCTTGTGCTCCTCGTAGTTTAGTAAAATTTCAAAACTTTTCACTATATACTCTTTCTCCGCCTCTCTTCTTGTTCTTTTTGTTTTAGACATTTAGTCCAATTAAAACAAATTGACATACACATCACATAAGCAAAACTTAAACCAAATATCTCATAGTTGATAGTCAACAACCTTCTTAATCTTCCCCTTATTTTAATCAACAAGATAATGCTTTGTGATTAATGTCTTAATCACTCACATGCCACATCCTTAGATAACGGGAAGGCCGAAGGCAAAATCTCATGCAATGGCAACACGTAGCCTCTACGTACCCACTGCGCCCTTTAAGCCACTGATTTTTTAATCGCAATGCGACAAATTTTGGTTCAGTAATATCTAATAGAATAAACCGAATTAATGTAATCCGGTTTGAACCATTAATTCGTAGGCCCGGTCCAACCGTTTCTTTCAGGATTTTATCCATTTTCGAACAATATTTGAATTGTTATTTATAAAAAGTTATTGTATAATAAATTTTACTATAATTTACAGTATATTGTGTATTCTTGTATTTATTATTGAAAGTTCTTATAAAAATATTTAAATTTAAATAGAAAGAATAGAGGAATTTTTACATTCTAAAAAATTCTTGTGAATTAGAATATCTGATGCCTAAATATTTATATTTATTTATCTAACATTATAATTTTTTAATTATATAAAATATATCACTAATATTAATTTATTTGAATTAAATTTTTTTATATATAATACATTTAATATAAGTTAGAAAACAAAAACTTATCTAAATTTTAATTTTATTTATGTAATACTTTAATTTAATAATTATATAAAAATATCACTATAATCAATTTAATTAATATAAAATATATATCTTTATTAATGATTTAGACAATATTTCTAAATCTCAATCTTCATATTTATTGATATAATAATATTATTCTTAAATTATATATATAAATTATTATTATTATTTTATTTAATATATACATATATATTCAAAAAATTTATAAAACTATTTTTAAGATAAAATTATGTAATTATTTTGACGATTATACTGGACTTATCTGTTCGGTGGAATCAATGATGATGTGACCCAACGGTAAAATCAGTTTGAATTTTATTTGACCGACACTTCATTCATAGATTGCTAATGAGAGATTTTGGATTCGAAGCTATCAAAAATCCCAAAAGATTTGACCTTCATCGTTGCTTCTTTACCGACCTCGGCTGGCACCGAGTGAAGAGATGCCCCTCGTGGACAAGTGGAAGCAGCTTCCTGGAAAAACCATCAGTTCCATGGGAGGCCAGCCTCTGTGTTTTCTTCGTCATTTTGTGGAGGATTTGATGATGATCAACATCAATGTGAGATTCAATCAGCCTAATGACTCTTTGTTTGGAGAAAATTCTCAGATTAGCTGTCAGATATTTTGTGGGGCTTTTTTTCTTATGGAATACTCTAGAAAAAAATTATTACGTGCGAAGTTTGGATCATTCAGATTATGAGAGTACACTGTAAATATATAGTAAATAAACAGTTTTGTATGATTAGTTGCATTTGTTGTGTATCCTCATAAAATTCAGATGTATCTTATTTTTAGACTCTGCACGTAATAATCTTTCATTACAGGAAAAATGCCTATTGCCGGCGGTTTATAGACCGCCGGTGTCGCCGGCGGTTTGACCGCCGGTATTTGACGTTTTTCTTGTAGTGTTTCATGCTCTAGATTTCATTTTGATATATATATATATATATTTAGAGTGTGATATTTTTTATTGTCTTATATAATACAAGAAGATAGTGTGGTGAACACACTTTTGGTTTGACGTTTTATGTGAAGGTTATGTCACGAATTAAAGATAAGGTTGTCTTCTTTTGTATTCTCTCATTGCAGGCTTGGATTTTGATTAGTCAAAAAGTATGATTATGTAACACAAAGGTTAAGTCAAGCAATTTAGTTTAGAGTGACGTTACCTATAATATAATTATCTTTGTTAGAAAACAACAAGTTGTAGCATTAAAGTATTAAACTCAATTCAAATTAAATAATTTCAAAATTTATTATAATATGTTTTATATTAGGATATTTGAACATTTATAGATCTTATAGATAGTGACGGCATTGATCGCCACTAACAAACATATAAGTTAGTGACTAATTAAGTATATCAAAAACCTTTTTTCTTCCTCACTTCCTCATGCGTGTTGCCACATGGAAATCTTGGAGTAGAGGCATGAAAATAGAATAACATATTTATTATAATTATCACACTTTTATAGATCTAATAATTTAAAATTATTTTTGAACAAAAGAATTTCTAAAAAAAGTAGAGTTAATAGTCAAATAAATTAGTGATAATTATTGAAAAATAAAGGCACAAAAACAGTTATTATAAGTACTATATTTTTTTCATTTAAAAAAGCCGCTCATCAAATTTTTATAGTTATTATATTTTAATGAATCTGGTTATTAAAATTATAAAAAAATATAGCCTAAAAAATAAAAATAGTAAAAAAATATCTCAAATGAATCCTAAATTTAATGACTAGTTCTGTTTATTGAAATATGTGTATATCAGAATTACCAACGAACAACTTATTAGTAGCTTTAATCAATATTCATATCGTTAAGTTTATGATAACATTTATGTTTATTTTGACTGTTATCTATTTTTTTTTATTAGTAATATTCCATCTTTATCTTTGGTCAGTGTCAAGACATATTCGACTGTTTCAAGACATATTCGACGGTAGAAGAGAGAAAATTTTGTTGTCTTAAAATTTGTATGAAGATCCATCCCGCACACAAATAAGAAAGGAGTGTAATAATTATAATATTATTTTGATATGACTAAACGATATGGCATGATTACTAGTTAGAAAATGATTGATTTTTTTTTCTGATGATTCAAACTAGGGGTATAGATGAGTCGAGTCGGCCCGAACTCGGCCCGCTAATAAGCTCATGGTTATCGAATCACAAGCTCGAGCTCAGTCAAATTCGAGCTCGTATATTAAATGAGATCGAGTTTTAGCTTGTTGAGACTCGACTTTGTTGGCTCTCGAACAAATTCGATTAGAAACCTTAATGTGTGGCTAAATCTATAACTTTCTTATTCCTTTAAGACCCGCTAATAAGCTCATGGTTATCGAATCACAAGCTCGAGCTCAGTCAAATTCGAGCTCGTATATTAAATGAGATCGAGTTTTAGCTTGTTGAGACTCGACTTTGTTGGCTCTCGAACAAATTCGATTAGAAACCTTAATGTGTGGCTAAATCTATAACTTTCTTATTCCTTTAAGACAAACAATTATAACTCGATCATTCAATGGTTCAGCATGCTTAACAAACCACTGCTTTCTGCATATGCCACTCTTCCAAAATAGGATGAATTATTCTGTGCAGACGACGAACGATGTTCAGAGCCCAATGAAAATGCGCCACGTCACCCCTACTCAATACCACGGCTCGGTACTGGATGACATGGCTGGACCTAATTGGCCTCTGGATGATAAATTGTGTCTGGTGCCTGTACAGAATAATCTATCCCAAAATAGAGTCTGCTACTACAATCCCTCCCTCCAAATACCAGACTTCAAAAAGATAGATCAAGCCAATATACAATATCAAAATATATTGCTTGTTACAACACAAACACAACAACTTCAGATAACAAAGTAGATTCAGATTACAAAGAATCATTTTGTTAAAAAGATTACTCATTCTTCTTCTCTTTCTTGGTATTTTCAGCACCAAAACCTCTGTAAGGAGCAACATGGTATGCATATTGTTGGATGACAGAAAAGAAAACCATCTCAAGAATTACTAATAAGTTCTGTATGGCTTCCTGAATATGCTCTACATCCAGCCAGAAATGATGTGATTTGATAACTCCAGCAGAGACCAAGACATCAAGCGCCAATCCCTGCCATCAAAGCACCAATTAGTTTGCTTTTTCAGGGATGTAATTAATTATTAGCACTGGGAAGTTTTACAACAACAATAATAAATCTTTTATCTTACTATGAGCGATTGGCTATTAGCACTGGAAAGCTTTATTCATGAAAAAAAAAAAAAAAAATACACATAAGATGTAGGAGTAGGGCTGTCAAAATCGGGTCATGGGTCGGGTTCGGGTCCAACTCGGAATTGACCCGGCACTGTTCGACATGACGCAAAAACGGGTCGGTTTTTTCGGACTAGAACTTGACCCGCTTCGGGTTTGGGTCAACCCGAACCTGACCCGCAACATTTTGATCATAAGAATGATGGGAATTCGCTCGATGTGATGCCTACTTTGTTGTTGTTTGACTTCGCTCCTTGGACGACGTTCCCTTCTAGTTGGATCTGAAGTTGCAACATTTTGATCGGAAGCAATGATCGTTGTTGTTCGATTTCACTCCTTGGATGATGTTCCCTTCCGGTCGGACGGGAGTTCGCTTGTTGGCTCCTTCGTTGATGTTCGACTTTGCTCCTTGGAAGACGTTCCCTTCCGGTCAGATCGAAAGTCGCAACATTTTGATCAGAAGGAACGACGAGAGTTCATTGCTGTTTGACTTCGCTCCTTGGACGACGTTCCCTTCCCGTCGGAAGGGAGTTCGCTCGTTGGCTCCTTCGTTGTTGTTCGAGTTCGCTAGTGCTGAAGGATTTCGGTTAAAACCGGGTTAATTTCAGGTTTTTGGTATTTCGGGTTTCTGGGTCAACCCGAACCTGACCTGAAATTCAAAAAGGGTCAAAAATCAGGACCCCCGACCCGTTTCGGGTTCAGGTTGACCCGAACCCGATATTTTCGTGTCGGGTTCAAGTCGGATTTTTCGGATCGTGTCAAATATTAACACCCTATGTATGAGTTCACATGAGAGAGCAATCTCATGCTTTTTTATTTTCATTTTTATAATGAGAACAAAAAATATAATAACTTCTTTTAATCACCAGGCAAGAGTCCAAGTTTGTTGCCTTGACCTCCGAATGTGCAAAAGTTAAATCTCCACTACAAAATAAAGAATTTCAACAATATTTATATTTTATACTCGTTATCCAGGAGCTACTTCAGCAGGCATTATCATCATTAAACTAATCCCAAATATTTGAGGTTTTTCTTTATGAGTTCTTAATCTGCATTCATCACTCTTTAGAACTACATGGGGTCATCATCATCATGATAAGCACTATGATGCACAGACAGGACATGGCAACCCGGACACGACACGACACGGGACACATCAATTATTGAAAATATAAGACACGGACACGGGTTGGACACAGTATTATAGTTTTTATATTTTAAAAATAATATATAAAAATTGAATAAGTATAATTTAAAAAAAATAGAAATAATAAGTCATTTAACTATAATTTATGCTTAAAATGATTAATATTAGGATATCAAGAGT